AGAACCACAGCATGCGGCCGGGCAGGGCAGGGCTCGGGGGAGCTATTTTTGCTTCCTGGCTGAAGGCTTTTGTGTGGCTTTGCTCCTGCCGCAGAAGCAGATCTGGGCTGCTGAGTTCATGGAAAGGATTTCTGAGCATTAATTCTCTGTTACACAACAAACCTATTTTCCTCTGACACTGAGCAGGAGCTGCCCTCCCGCACCGGCTCCCTCTGCCAGCTCTCCCTCCCCAGCAGCCTTCATCAGCACCCTCTCCGTGGGGACGCAGTCCAAACGACCCCCCGAGATGGCCGAGAAGGGCTGCACAGCCCACGGGGTGATCCTGCTCCGCAGGGAGACTGGCAGCGGTTCCACCACATGCTCGGAAATCAGCAGCGACGCAGAGTCCGACCGGGGCTTCCCCAAAACACAGCTGCCTGGGGCCCGAGGCAGCAGCGCCCGCCCAAATACAAGGGGGGGGGCTTCGGCTTTTTTTAGAACTACATCTGCAATATCGGTGGGTAAAATCTGTAAGCTGTCGGTTACCTTATCAACACACCTTTGTGTGCTCCTTATTTCTCACCAAAGCTGAACCTGTCTTCAGCAAAGAATACATGTTTGGTAGTGTTGCTGAGACGCAGCCAGCAGTGAAAGGCGAAGGGCTCCCTTTGGGAGATGGGCTTTGAGCCTTTGCTCCAGGACTTTGCTAGGTGCAATCACAGGTGGCTCCTTAAAAAAAAAGTGGAAAGCCCAATGCCTGTGGCTCTGGGAAATAACTGTAGTAACCCCCAACAGGGTTTTTCCTCACTTTTCAGAGCACGATTACTTTTGCCAGCGTTACAGCTGCTCCAGGGATCCCGATCTCCCATTTGGCTTCCCATGGTGCTTCGGACAAGGCACGCGATTTCTTTGTGCCTGGTGTGCCTGGGTGGGTGTCCCCTGGCAGGACCACGGGGCTCGCTGCATCCCTGCAGAGCAGGCATCTATTTCTGTGTGGAAGCTGATGTTCTCTCTTAGGCCAGCTACACACAATGTCATGGATCGCACGAGTCTCAAATAAAACGGGCAAACAGAATTTAATAAGAGCAGCACATAAGTAAAAGCTGGCCCCGAGCAGCACACTGCATCTACCTAAATAAACATGACTGGGATGTGCAGTGCTATCATCTTCTGCATTTTTATTAAATATTGACAGTTATTAAATGTCACCGTTGGAAGATTCACCTCCAAAAGCCAATGTTGCTTTTCATTTTGAACTTTGATGAACTGTCTCAATTTCAACTCAGACATCTGCTGAACTGCAATTGACTGAGGCTGATGCTTCCGAGGGATGGAGGGGAATCAATAAGAAAATGTCACGGGAGAGGTCAAACCGACCCGGGATTCACCGCTGCCCGGTGTGGTCACCGAGGGCTGGAGGGACGCAGCGGTACCCAAACAAAGGCAAATGCTGGGGGGGGCTTCTGCCGCCAAAGTGTCAGGAAAATGAATTTTGTTTGCTCCTTAATTGTATTCTGATTCTCAGCTGGGAGCTGTCACTGTAGGACTGCAAGACACGGTCAGAAAATGCAAGAATAGAGAGGTGCGTTTTGCTCAGGATTTGGGAAAACTGCCATTCAATATTTCCGAGTCTCCAGACAGCGATGTAAGCCTTCCTCTCCATCCATTTTATTTCAGTTTAAAGCCAGGTATCAGAATGCGACCACAGCTCAAGAGCTCAAAAGCAATAGCTGGTGTGTGATTCCCTATTGCCTCTGGGAAACCCAGCTCTGAAACACAGCCAGGTGCCCGCTGGATGTACGTTATTAGCACTGGGCTCCCGTAACTTGCACGTGGTTTGTGCGTCTTGTTTTCGTGACATGGGCACACGTTAAATACTGAAAATCTCATTAATTTCCCACAAGATAGTGGCCATTTTCTGAAGAAAACTCAAGAGACACAGGGGTTTAGCTGCCCAGTCACACAGCACAGCAACCCTTGCTTCTGCCGCATTTCGCTGTCTCTACGGCAGATACCCGACGCCTTCAGGTCTGTCCCATCTCTGTGCCTCATCCGCAACACCGCGCTCAGCACTGAGCTGCCTTCAGGAACTGCTAGGGCACAAAGAACAGCAACGGGTACTTGCCAGCCCATCCATAGATGCTGTAGGTGCTCGTGACAGTATTTCACTGAGCAGTTGCCGATAAGAATATTTCCAGTACCGACGTCCCGACACGAACAGGCTGAGCAGGAACCAAGCTTAGCTGGACGCCTCAGCAGCAGCTCGCTCATCGCATCGGGCCGGGGAGGACCAAGGACAAGCTCCCTACCTGCCCAGCTTCCTCCAAACTCTGAGCGGGCTTTTCTACGCATCCTGTCCCCTGTGGCACCAGGGGACAACAGGACGTGGGGCTGTTTGGACAAAGAGCCTGAAGAAGCACAGCCCTCCCTGTCTTCTGGCATTGACAGCTCCGTAGCTGCTGTGCACCGACATCCCAGTGACGCCTCGGACCCACTGGTGCCAAGACATCGCTGCGGGGTTTTTAACATGCTCCCCCAAAGGGTGTGGGGCTGGGACCCAGGGGAACCTGCTCCTTTGTGGATGGGCAGGACTGAGGGAGGTGGCCATGGGAACATGCAGGGGCAGGCAGGACCACACCGTGGCACGCCCGGAGGGAGGACGCGGTGAGGGGGCAGGGCAGACCTGAGCCCCGGTCAGTCTCCGCGCTCCCTCTTTTGGGCTCTTTCAACCCAAAGGGGGTCCCGTCCCGTCCGTCCCGCTGGCGGGGGCCGTACTCACACTTGGCGTGGCGGTCGCAGAGGGCAGAGGTGCGCATGTCACACAGCCGGATGGTGCCTTTGCTGCTGCTGTAGACGAAGGTGTTGCAGTGGTGTGGGTGGAACTCGGCGGCAGTGATCACCTCCGTCAGCTCCTCCATGTTGGCCGGCTTGATGTCCACGATGTCTGGCAGGGCGAGTCAAGGAGCCCCAGGTAGCCCGGCCTGGACCCCGCTCCTCCCGCTGCCCCTCCTGCCGA